GCTGGAACTTCCCTGCTGTTAGAAGTAGGCAGTTTATTCGTTTGTTAAATATCTGTAGACGTCTGTGTACCAGGCCCTGGGCCAAGCAGGAAAATGCGCTGGTGACTAGAACAGGCCGTAGTCCCGCCCTGCGCAGACCTGTCAGCCGAAGGGCCGCGAACAGCGGGAGCGGGCGTGCGCTGGGCGGCTTCGCCAGGGTGCTGACGCTCGTCTGTGCGGGCCGCCTCCCGTGACTCAGGAGTGGGGGCGCAGGACGGGTCTGCGCGGGTCTGTCGAGCAGTGCCGGAGGCGGCCTGTCGCTTGTCAGCAGCGCCGTCGCCGTGCGGAGCGCCGTCGCCGTGCGGAGCGCCGTCGCCGTGCGGAGCGCCGTCTGCCAAAGCGCCACGTGCAGGTGGCGACGATGGCAAACACCGTCGACTTCTGTCTGCGGTGCCGTCCTAGGTCCTTGGAACGTGTTTTTTCATCTTCTCCATGAGAAACAGGTGCCATCGGTATCCCTGCCTTTTACAGAGGAGAAAACAGGCTGAGAGAGGCCGGGCTGCGTGCCCGGGGCTCTGCTAGGTGATGGGAGGGCCGGTGCTGCCCCTGCCCGCTCAGCCGCCGCTAGCCAGAGCCTTTCAGAGAGCCCAGCGGCTGCAAGACTCAGGTTCTAGCCTTAGTGAGCGATGAAGAAAGAGGATTTGGAAGGCCTTGTTCCATATTGCTGACATTTGAATGCTTATGTCTAAACGCGTTTAGCATGTAGGTAATTAGTAAAAGGAAAGAAGATCTGAGAAGAGATGAAAATCACAATATTAGAATTCCAAAGGGGGCAAGACTTATGATCCCAATATATTTTCAGTTTAATACAAAAAAATGTCTTTAGAAGTTATGAATATTTAAAATAATCTCCCAGGAATGTACCTAGTTCTTAGGCAGCTTGGAATTTTTATTGAAAACTAACCACATTGGTTTCTTTTTGAGTTCATTCTCATAATTCAGTAACTGCTTCCTTTTAGAAACAGATGAAGGGGGTTGAGAATATATTGCCTGACCTCCACCTGTGGCAAAGTCAAAATCAAAACTTAGCAGACGTTCTACTTAAAATGGAAGGGAAGCCAGTCTACTTTTCCAGTTACATTTGGCCTTATCTATAATGAGAAAACCTATCTTTTGGAGGACTTGAAATTAACTCTCTAATGGAAGGAGAAAATGAGGGCTGTGAAGAGCCCCGTTGGCGCAGCCACGTGACCCAGTCCTGTCGGGGCCTTCATCAGCAGGGGAGGGACGTGCGGCAGTAAAACGCAGTGGTGGAATTTATCGCTTACGACAGATTTCAGAAGAAACCAAGTATTCTCCAGTTCTCTGTAAGCCCCATGTGATGTGAGCCCGGCAAAAAAACTAGCAGGGAGTATCGGGCCTTCACATACTAAATCACGAAGAAAGTTGCGGTTTTTAGTCAAGTCAGAAAGGTCAGGAGCCTCTTTCCGCTTCTTGTAATTGTGAATAGACTCAGGACAGAAGGTGGGGAGAAACTGCTGGTCGCCGGCTTCCGTGCAGCTGTGTGAAGGAGTGCCGGCCCCGGACGCAGGTGCCTGGGACTGACTCACGCCTCCGATCGGAGGTGTGGGTGACACAGACAGAGACACCGTACAGAATGGGTCCCACTGCGGGGCACTCACTGCAAAGGAGTGCAGGTGGGGCTTGCCTGGGGCAGGAGACAGCAGTGCTGATCTGCACATGGTTCGGGACAGTGTAGAAATTACACTTTGCTCTCCCCTCTGTTGGAATGCGTAAAACAGTTGTAAGGTCATAAGAAGTTCTCAAATGAACGCCGCTTTCCAGGTCTTGATACGACACAGGACTTGAGGGTTGAGTGGAAATAACCCCAGAAGACTCCCCTGCTTTCTCAGAAAGTATGTTTTATCCTGTCTGTCCTCTTATCTGACGCTGTGTCCCTCAGCTCCTTAACATAGAAGTGACGGATGCGGCGCATGAGTTAGGAGCCCTTAAGTCGGCTGAGTGCAGTTCAGGATGAAAGCTCGCCGGCAGATCAGTAGTGTAACACTTCCAGCCCTGGTTACGGTTTAGCATACTGGTCCTGCTTTTTTTTTTTTTTTCCTGTTCCTGCTTTTTAATGAAAAATCTGACGGATGTCAATAATAGAGTGAAAATTAGCAGCAAGCATTCATGTCAGAAAGTTCTATGAAGATGGAAGGGAATGAAAGCAGCTAGGACATGGAATGCAGAGAGTGTGGCAGGGGCAAGGACTGGCAGTCTGTCAGCCCAGAGGAGGAAGCCCCTGTGTGCAAGGAGCACGAGGCAGGACCATGCCGCGAGGGCAGGGGCGCCAGACACTCCGAGTCGGCGGAGGCTCCTGGGCAGCTGGAGCTCCTGAGCACGAGTACGTGAGAGACTGCCCAGGGACGCTGGTAGCCGGTGAGAGTGAAACCCACACTCCGAGTGATTCCGGCCTCCCAGCAACACTCAGTGACGTGTGGAGACGTGGGACGTGGGTGGGCGCGGGGTCCGCGGGCCATGTTCAGGGCGGCTCTCCTGAAATCGTGGGCTGGCTGGCCGGGGAGCTGCTGAGAGAGCGGAGCAGGGCCGGAGAAAGTGGAGTGTCTGTACAGAGGACTTGCAGGAGGAGCCCTTCTTGGTAGAGATGGTGCATTTCAGCTGAGACAGTGCGTAGAGTGAAAATTTTCCAAAGAGAAGGATGGGTTATGAAACATGGAAGTTTGTGTATGATGTGATGGTTTCTAGGTTTCCAGAATTCACAGTTCTATTGGCTATAGGCTGTTATTTTCATGTCTAAGTCAAGAGAAAATCTGGTTTTTAAAATCCCCAAATTTAGTAATTTTGGTAAGATTTATATCATACAGGTTGAAACTTCCCCTGGTTCATTTTCATGTGAGGAATAAAATGAACCCTTTGGGAGCTTTTAACCTGTTGCATGTTGAAATCTCTGATTTAAAAAAAAAAATCGGGGTGCCTGGGTGGCTTAGTCAGTTAGGTGTCCAACTCTTGCTCTGGGCTCAGGTCTTGATCTCAGGATCGTGAGTTCAGGCCCCACATGGAGCTTCACACTGGGTGTGGCGCCTACTTAAAAAATGATAATAATAAAATAAATAAAATTTAAAAGAAAAGAGAATGGTGTCACCATGGGCAAATCATTTAATGTCCTGAGTTTCTGTTTCCTTGGCTGTGAGATGGGACTCGTGCCCCGCTGTGCTGCCCAGTCCTGAGCTCAGGTGGTGGGGGCCCCGCACAGACCTTGGCGTGCAGTATGTACATAAGCCCCTGGTGACGAAGGTGGCCGTTGTACCGGCGACTTGTGGCCCCCAGGGCCCCCGTGCCCATTGGTCCTTACTCTTGCAGTAGGTGCTCCCACAGTATCTGTTCTCAGGGTACTCACGTTGGCCTTGCCAAGGTGGTTTATTGAAATACTGGGCAAATCTCTGCATCGTTAGTCACCGAGCGGTGGGGGGTGTGTCCGGAGCGGTGGCTCCCAAGCGCAGAGGCCGAGCATCCGTGCCAAGTGGAGAGAAGTGTCTCCTGCGGTGGTGTGCTGGTAACGAGACCGTAGCCTTGGTTCAGACCCTTCCCTGGCTCTGGCTGAGGGCGCCGGCCTCCGGAGCCAGCTTCGCGGGGCTGTAAGAGCAGGCCAGAGGAACCCGAGGGTCGGCCTCGGGTCCGGGTGACCCGCCCAGTTCCAGACCCAGCACTTCACCAAGGCCGTTAGCCGGGTCTCCCTCATCGGGACCATTGCTCCCCTGCGCCCCGCACGCGGGCAGGTCCATGGGTCGTTTCAGTACTAGCCTGGGAGCTTTGACTTGATCTTTGAGCTTGTGCCCGATTCTCAGAACGTGGACAGACCCAGTGCTCCTGAGAGTTGGCTTGGATCCCAGGGTTCTCCAGGACGGTTCCTTGGGCTCTCCCAGTGGTAACAGTCCTCTTGCCGATGGGCCACTGTTGCGGCCAGCAGGCTTTTCTGGAGCTTTTCGTGGGTGCTCTTCCGTTTACTGTGCAGTGTTCGTACAATGCCGCGGGGAGAACAGACTTTAAAAAGAGAGAGAAGAGAGGTCAGTGTAGTTTGCAAAAACATTATCAGTGTTGTACGATGATGTCACATTTAGAGATGACAGCTAAGTGTGTTAGTAATAAAGTGACAGAAAAAGACTTAGCATTTCAAGTTTATGAGAAGGGAGTGTGATTTTTAAGAGTTGAAATACTGGCTGAGTTTCAAAGAAGAAATTTTTAAATGAAAATTATTTTGGTGATCTGTATAATTAATTCTTTCTGGGGAAGTGAAAAAAAATGGTGAGGCTTTCTTTAAATGCTTCACCGGAAAAAAAAAATGCAAATGTGGTGCTTTTAAAGATCTCCGCGAATACTTAAAAGGCCAACTGAAAAATGAAGTAATTTAGTTTGTCTCTAAATAGACTTCTAGTGGAAGAATGTTAATCTGTGAGAATTCAAAGTGTCTTATCCAATGGAATCCGACTGTGAGACATTTCTTTTGTAGCAGAATGGTTTCTTAGACGTTTCACGTTGTCCTGTTACCGCAGAGCTTGCTGTGTCTGTAAAGCTGCACGTTCAGCGTCTTTTTCTCCTTTGGAAGTAAAGGCTCCATGACGGGGGTTTATGGTTGTCTTCAGAAGGTAGCAAATTACAGCGTGTTTGAGAAGATCAACGCCAAGGACACTGAAAGTAGACTTTTAGCTTTTTAGATGAATGGGCAGGAAGGGTCAGGGGTCAGTAATTGCATGGATTTCAGTAAGCTTTAAAAAGAAAATTTCCTTGTTTTGCTATAGTGATACCAGAACGTGGAATTCATATTTTGATGCTGCCTTTGATGTTTGCCTGTTTCCTTATGGGAGGGTCACTTACTGCGCAAGACCTCGTGGGAGGCTACGGGACACAGTTACTTGATGTTTTCAGGTTGGAACCCCGTGTGTCTCCATTCCTAGAAATGGCTGTTTCCCTGCCTCTCATCTTGTTTTCCCATTGTTCTGTAGGGGCCTCCAGAGTTCCCGCAGCACACACCTGGGCCCGTTCCCAGCAGTTTCAGCCAGCCCCCCCGACTTCCCCTCCAGGACCAGTGGAGGGCCCCGCCGCCGCCGCCGCAGGAGCGAGACCCTTTCTTCTTAGGAGGTAAAGGACCGTCCGGGCTCACAGAACAGAGTTACATTGGGTGATGTGCCTGAGCACCTCCATGTTGCAAACTGAGTTGAGCTTCCAGTAGGAGATTCTTGTGCAGAGTGTCAGATTTTGTACCAGAGCACTTCCTCGTCACTTCAGATGCTAACATTGGACACTGTTGGTATTTGCGGTAGGAGGCAGGTCTTCTATAGAAGGAGGCGGTCCTCTATAGAAGGAGGCGGTCCTCTATAGAAGGAGGCAGGTCCTCTATAGAAGGAGGCAGGTCCTCTATAGAAGGAGGCAGGTCCTCTATAGAAGAGGCGGTCCTCTATAGAAGGAGGTGGTCCTCTATAGAAGCGGAGTGATGGAGCAATCTAGAAATAGGTTGTGAAGTGTAGCCTCGCACCCTGCCCACCGCTTGTCATTTTTGTTCCCAGTAAGATGGCACGTAAGACTGCTCTTGGGGGCGCCTGGGTGGCTCAGTGGGTTAAGCCTCTGCCTTCGGCTCAGGTCATGATCTCAGGGTCCTGGGATCGAGCCCTGCATTGGGCTCTCTGCTCAC